TGACTTGTAATATTTTGAAAACTTTGTACTAGAACTTGTTGCTTAATTTAATATAAAACCTTACCTAAATTAATTGTCCACTTAGTATATTTTCTATTAACCTTCTATGAATATTGAAAATATTAATAACTTAGATAATAAATTAGAATTAATAAATGTAATCTGTAAGGGGGTTACACAAACCATCTATCAAAAGGTTTAAGAACGTCAACACCGTTCTCTGTAATTTTAGGAACAAATGGACCGTTTAAAATTGCGTCCCAAACGCCTCTATCAACAGACTCTAAAAATATTTGCATACGTACTTTCCAAAAAGGATAATTTTGACCCGCAAAAAGTGGGGGTCTGTTGATAGACGCACCTTCGGCAAAAGTTTGATTTTGTCCGGCCATTTTCGAAAATATTTGAATGACTATCAAAGCAAGCTCTGATACCACTTGTTAGAATCGCGCGGAATGTTCGCGTGGTCGGACAAAAACCAAGAGAGGGGGGTGAATTGGTTTCTTAATAAAAATTAGGTTTTCAAAAATTTTCCCCAAATTTTACCGATTAAAAACTGCGTAAATGTAAATAGAGAAGAGTAGAGAAGATTACACAGTAGGTTTATACTGGTTCGGATCAAAAGCCCTACGTCCAGTTGCTAATCACTCAAAAGAGGATTAACGCTGTCACTAAGAACAAATTGTTACAAACAGATTACAAATGAACAGATAAAGATCAGAATACACCTCTCTTGAAATCCACAAGAGATGATGAACAACTTTCCCCGGAGACGGCACAACACACAATCCACTAAGAACTCCACTTAGTGATTCTTATCACTTCTAGCCCACACCAGGTTCGGAAAGCCCCAAGAGATGAAGAACAACTTTCCCCGGAGACGGCACAACACACAATCCACTAAGAACTCCACTTAGTGATTCTTATCGCTTCTAGCCCACACCAGGTTCGGAAAGCCCCCTTTCCTTGCAACAAACAGTTCTCCGGCACTCACAACACTTAACTTTTGTATGGAAAAGGTTGTTCTTTCTTTTCCGAGTGCCAAAGGAGAGTTTAAGTAGGGAAATTAGGGTTTAGAAATTGGGGATTTCGAAACTAGGGTTCTTGGTAATTGGGTTTTCGAAAATAGGGTTAATTTGAAATTTAAAATGAAAAACAGACTGAAATAATCGATTAAATGGAGTTATAATCGATTAAAACAGAGCAAAAAAAAAACAGAACCCAAAACCTCTCTGTTTTAATCGATTATTTGAAGTTTTAATCGATTATTTGACCTAATAATCGATTATTTTGATGTTTTAATCGATTAAAACAGTGAGTATATACTGAAAATGGTTTTCTCACTGTTTTAATCGATTATTTCCCTATATAATCGATTAAAGCCGAGCCTGGATGATATATTTGAGCATTTTGAAGCTTCTAAGTTGCAGACTATGTACCGGCTATCTCAAACTCTATAATTACAGACTCAATCAAACTAAAACAGAGTTATTACAATACAGAAATCATCAATCTTCAATCTTCAATACTCTAAGTCTTTAAGCTCTTGGATCATCATCAAAATCAACATTCTTCATGATCATTATTTGCAACATCAAGTCCTTGAATGTTCAACACTTGGATGACCTTTAAGTCCCGTATACATATTTGACCCTTCAAAATGCAACTTTGATTCTTCTGTTGCTTCAACATGATGCTTCATCTCTTTAATACTACTACCTTCAAATACTGGAGAAAAGTACATCCCACATGATGGAGGATTTACTTCTTCTGTTGATAGTTTTGCTTCATCTAACAATTCGTGTAATTGTGTTACATCTTCCTCTAGTTTTTCAATTGTTGATTCCTGTTGTTTGGTTACGGCAATCAACATTTGATTCTCAGCACTAATTCCACACAACATATTAGTAAAAATTTTCACTTCTTCAGATGCATAAGTGGTATGTCCTAATGCTTCTTTCACTATATCATGAGCAAGCTCTTCATTTCTGACACACAAGTCATGAATAACCTATGAGTAACGAACAATGTCAAATTGAAATCTCATTTTGACATATGGTAAAGTAATATTGCAAACAAGTTCTACTAAATTTTTCATGAACTAACTCTATTATGATTAAACGCAACTACAATCTTGCTTTCCCCAATTACAATAGAGGTCCATTGTAAAAATCTCGGAAATCGACTTATCTCATTACATGATTTGGTATTATAAAGTACATGCTCCATAACCCATACCTGAATTCATATAAACAAAATGCACAATATCAAATCAGCTGACTATATTGAAAGTATTCTAACAAAACATATATCGTAATTTAAGATTTACCTGTAACAAAAACACACATCCTAGAACACGGAAGTGTGAACAATTTCTTCGTTTCTTCAAATAAATCGATGCTTCACATAAACTTCCAACCAGATATTCATACACTGCTTTTCCCCAATTATACTTTCCAAGACAAGATATATTATCTATTAACTTAAAAAATCCACAATGTGCGATACCTACTTCATTAGGGAATAAAAACTCTGACAAACCTAAAAATATGTACAACCTACAAAAGTCATCGACATCCTTATCATTTTGACGTTTAACAAGTTCATTAAAAATCATTTCCAAAGTAACATGTTTCCCATTAAATAGTCTCCTAGTATGACAATCAATGTTTCCTTCTACAATGTTGACATTTTCGCCTACTACACGAAGTCCTAAACCTAAACACACATCTAATAGTGTAAAGCATACTATCTCAGACCTTATATTAAATCCTCCTCTCTTTTCAACCCATCTACTTATTAATTCACTAAGTAATGTTCTACTAATTTTGACCTTTCTACCCAATGACATCAACCAACTAAATGGTGTTGCCTCAATACGACTTCTTTGCTCTGTAGTAAGAATGTTATTCACTTCACCCAAATAATTAGTCCTGCAAACATGTCGCAAATATACCTGAAAATCACATTAAATAATTATAATTATCATCAACAATATCCTATATTATATAAATGGATACAACATTCACCTTCTTAACATTTGAAGATCCATCGTCTATGCTTTCCATTTCAAACTGCAAATACATGTAACCCTATTTAATTTGAGTTCATAGTATAAAATTTATTTACTGTCATGACGTTTACTACAGGTCGAGCACATTCATACAAGTATTTCATGACAACAATCTGAGTATCATCTAACAATGAATATCATAAAAGTTATGTCAAAGCATATACTCATTTTCATTACTAAGGGTCAATAACATGCAGTAAGAAAACACAATTTCAGATCACAATGTAGACAAACTCTAAACCCTAAACCCTAAAAATATATAATGCACTAACTCCCAATAAGCGCGTCCTACAACAACAATGGCGAATGGAGACTGGAACGCGAACTTGGCGACACACAAATATATTACAATGTAATATGCTTCAATGTGAGCAAGAGAATCAGAAAGATTGAAAATACAAAGAACGTACCTTTAGCTTAATAGAAGACGCAGACAGCGAGAATGAGAGCGCAGAGAGCGAGAATGAGAGCGCAGAGAGCGGCCAAAAAACGCAGACAGAAAGAGCGCGAGGTTGAAGAAAGATAGAGGTAGGGATGAATAAAAATATGACTTTAGATAGCGGTTCACTCCTAACCGCTCTTTAAAAGTATGACATTAAATACCGTTACTTCTGAACCGCTAATAAAACATACTTTAGTGAGCGGTTCACTCCTAATCGCTATATTATATGTATTTTTAACAGCGGTTGTTATTAACCGCTATCTAAAGTGTAGTCGCTCAAGCGAAATTTACATCGCGACGTTACCTGCCACAACACTACGCATTTAATATTTTTTATTCGATAATACTGTGCATTTAATATTTTTTTATTGGATTGTCGAACGAATGTTTAAAATGGGTGTCAAAATATCGGACTCTTTTAAAAATTACCTTTTTGGGCAAGGTTGTTTGATTACTCCGGAGCACATCACTAATTGGAAATATTTTTTCAAAAATAGTAAAAAAAAAAAAAAAAAAAAAAAAAAAAAAAGAAAAATAAATATAAAATTTATAAATCTTTTATAATTAAGATTCATAATACTTTATAAAAGAAGTAATATTTATTGTAATAAAAAACATACTAATAAAAAGTGAAAGATATATGTTGATGTTGAGAGAAATAATAAAAGATAAATTTTAATAAATTAGAAGGAGAGAATTAAGAGAAATGTACATCATGATTAAATTTAGAACCTTTTTTTCTGTGGTTCGATCCGAAGCCAACTTGATAGTTGATGCTGATGTTGATTTTGTTTTATCCAAATTGCTTTTAAAAAAACTTTTAGAGTTTGTTTGTTACAATTTTTGTCAGAAAAAATATTGAAAAAAAGTTATTTAGTTGTTTTATTTCCTTGTTAAGACTATTTTTGCTTGGATCAAACCTTAGTCTTTTTTTTTTTATTGCAGCGTGTTCCGAATATCAAATGGTTTCAATTTAAAAAATATATATTAAAAATTAATAAATTATACAAAATCTAAGTGATTTTAAATACTTTTTCATAAAATTAATTGTCAATGCATTCTTTTTAAAATAATTTTATAATTACAACAAATACAAATTACCTTGTTTCTAATTAAAAATTTCAATAAATTATGCTATATAAAAAAGGATTAAAACTGTTTTATTATAGATTTTAAATTTATATCTAATTAAAACCTGTAAAACTCACTTATAAAATGAAAATTATGTGGAAATGAGACTTGAATTTTTCCTAACACTAATGAACTTTATGCATAAATAATATGGCTTTTATTTAAGGAAATAATTTTGATTATATTTTTATTTAATATAAAACTTTTAATATACGATGAAAATCAAATTGAGTGTTATATTTTTTGTAATAAAAATATATTCAAATTTAATTTGTCTTAAAAAATGATGTCATGTTACATAGATGTGAAATGTTGAAAAGAAGTGGCAAATGATTGCTGAGAGTGCAGAATGAATCAGACCAACTGTAAAGCGCGGGAATCCATGGCATCAGCAAACCGGACCTCAAACACACAAATCAAATGCTCAAAATTGGCAAGATTGAGGCCGAACCCCAATTGGTCATTCCATTCCATCACAGTAAAATTCATGCCCCCATCTCTGTTACCAGATTGTCTCGCTCGTAAAGGTACTTTTACCAGTACGCGGTAATCACACGTTCTCGACAAAACAAGAAAAAAGGTTGCAAATCAAACACAGCAAAACTCACCCGAATGTAGCATTCAAAGCCTTGGCCTTTTCTTGGACAGACTTACTTTCAGTGCTTCTAGCAACAGACACACCTCACGTAGTATTTCTGCCAGAACTGCCAAATCTAACTTCATGCCCCTCACTCACTGAACCGAAAGCTTGAAACTTTGCGGACATTTCTCAGACCCAGTTGCCGGAAGTGGCGGTTCCCGGTGGGTTGGTGGGAATGGAGGTGGAGAGTGAAAAGTCAGGGTCTGATGGGAAGGTTTGGAGATTTTGTAAAATGCCATTTTGGCAAACAACTCATATTCCTTCTTTTTCTTCATCTTCTTCATCTTCCGTTTCTTACAACATGCACAATGTGCATCAACAAAATCAGAATACTCTTCAATCTGTTGATAGATCCGGTCAGCATTCTTCAACCACAGTCTCGTCTGTGGCAAAGTCTCTTCTCCCTACAAAGAGGAGGCTCCGTCTTGATCCAACCAACAAGCTCTACTTTCCCTGTAGGTGTATCTTGAAACTTGTTTTTGGTCATGGGACTTTTTTGGGAGGATTATTATAATAATCCTTCTGATATATCTTTCCAATATTTTATAAAGTATCAAATGAGAAAGGAAATATATTTAATATCTTGGACACATAAAAAACTGTATTATACTTACCACAGAAAGGAAGCTGAGGATTTATATATAAGAAGATTTAGAAGTATTCTTTTGTGCGTTCGCGTGTGTGTGTGTTGAATTTCTTCTGAAATTAATGGTTTGTTTTGATTGCTTGATCTGGATATCTTTGTTATCATTCTATAGCCTTGTGAATGGACTGCTCTATGCATAGTTATCATGCCTAACGTTTACATTTGTGCATTCTGTTTTTATTTTTATTTACCTTGCTTTATGTTTTGCTACATTTTAAGATGAGCTATTTTTTAATAGGTGGAATCAAGAAGATGATTTAATTGATTTGTTTGTAGTGGATGTTAGGTTTATCCTTGCTGATTCCTTGTGGCTTAATTTTGATTTTGAAGATGAACCTGGTAAGCAAGTTAGGTGTGCAATCGCAATTAAAAACACTTGCAAGTCTCATGTAGCTTTTAAGGTGTGGTTTCTGATTTTCTCTAACCGTCATTTTTTGTTCAGAAATTATGTATTACACAACATTATCATCATGTTACTCCGTATAATAAATTGGCGAATAACTCTGTCATTCATGATATTCGACATCAGATATAGGAAAATATAAGTTTTGGTCTCTACACATGCAGAGACGTTGTTTTGGTAAATTACTATATAGTAACTAGGTGATAGGAAATGCAATATGTTGATCATGACCATCTTCATATTGGGTTTCATCGCATATATCTATAGGATGATATAGACACTGATACTTTTGTACACTGCCTTTTTCTTTTGTTTCCTATGTCTATCCACTTTTTAGATTACTACTAATGGTGATATTTTCTTTTTTCTTAGTTTCAAACAACAGCACCCAAGAGTTGTTATATGCGTCCTCCAGGTGGTATTCTAGCCCCTGGTGAAAGTATAGTTGCCACTGGTAATTTGTGCTATTAAACTCATGTTAAGTAACATGCCCAAATGCTTAGAAATTGATGGTTCCTCTTGCAACTGTCTATATTTTGTAGTATTCAAGTTTGTGGAGCCACCGGAGAACAATGAAAAACCACTTGATCAGAATAGCAAGGTTAAGTTCAAAATCATGAGCCTAAAAGTGCAAGGTGAAATTGACTATGTACCGGAACTGGTAATTTACTAGTGTTCCTTTTGAGGATAAATCTACCATCATCATCTTAATTTTCATTTATATCTTAGCTTGTTTATATAAGGATAAGTTGAAACCTTCTTTCTGTTCGTTAGCCAATTAAAGTGTTCTTGATGGTGTATATGTCTTAAAATCAGTTTTTTTTTTTGTGTGTGTGTGTGTTAAAAACCTGAAGATGTTAGGTTAACCAAAGATGTTGTTCAAGAAAATTGTATTCCCTGTGAGTACTGTTGAATTTCTTTTGATAATTTTTGCTTATAAATCTTCAAAGATTCTTCATTTTGTACAAATGGGAATTTGGTATGTGTTGGTTGTTGGAAATAAAGGAGGTTCTGGAACCTTTGTGCATATCCATGACCTGTCTTGCTTTCTTTCTGGAGAATGTGGGTGTAGCTTATTATTTGCTGTCTCCACATCTAAGATACTTTCGTGAGGCATGAACGGTATTGTTACATGTGTCACATTTTAGTATACATATGCCTGAACATTACTGATTCTTTTCACACAAGTAATGTCGGAACTGAATTTTTTATGAACTGCCTTCTCCAGTAAGTCACTCTTGGTGCATTTTATTTAAGGTCAGTACTTAAGGTTTTGAAAGTAAAATATTTTGTGAAAACACATTTTGTTACTAGCATTGCAACTTTTGATATGTTGTACACAACCTACTTACATTGTAATTGTCAACTTAAAGGTAAATACATTTCAAAAAGCCTCAAGCTGATTGCAAGTCTTAACAAAATCATTTTTCATAATTCATCTTTGACAGGTGTAACTTGCAACGCATTGACAAATAAGCCAAGTCTATTATGTTTCAAATATGTTACATTGAACATTTACAATTTCTTGAACAAACAGAGGATGCATTCAGTACCCAGAGAAAATTGGAATTTAACATGTAAATGTCACATAATTTTTCCTACAGTTTGATGAGCAAAGAGAGCAAGTGGCAACAGAGCAAATTCTGCGGGTTATTTTTGTGGACCTTGAGAGGCCTAGTCCTGTAAGACTACATATCTCAAACATGACATATGACCTCAACCATTTTATTATTTGCAGTTATAATTGAAAGATGTTGTTTCTATAAGGTACTGGATAAGCTCAAACGGATGTTGGCTGAGGCTGATGCTGTAGTTGAAGTGCGAAGAAAACCGCCGGAGGAGAAAGGTACCGGAGTTGCTGGGGAAGGTCTTGTTATAGATGAATGGGTTAGACACTCTTCTTGCCACATTCTTTTGTTTCAGTAAATAATATATACACACTTCCAGTATAAAGATTTCATTTTTTCTTACTATCATCCACTAACAAATTATCATATATGATAAGTTTGTTGACTTTTAAAATGACTATTTCAAAAGTCATATCTACCATGGCTTTTGATTATTTGAGAATGTAAAATTGTTTATACTAATAATGCATAAATATTAACTCTTTATTTATATTGAATGTTATCCTTTCATTCTTCTCTTATTCTGCACCCTTTCTCCTTGTGTAGAAAGAAAGAAGAGAAAAATACTTGGCCCAACAGCAAGTCCAAGGTGTTGATTCAGTGTAAAGTGTTTCTTTCCTCCTTTTCTTGGGTCAAGCTCTTAATTGTATGCTCTGAAATTGAATTCCAGACTCACTGATCTTGTCTCTCATAAGTGGCTGAGTCACCTAGAAAATTGCTATGAAGCAAATAATGAAATCCTTTCTTTTTCTTTTTCAATAATGCTTGTGATGTTGTTATATGCGAGTGAATACTTAATTGTACTTTTACATCATCATCTATAATCTGTATATAGCTGGTTTGTTTTAGAAGTATGTGGAGTATTCGGTCTTTAGCATGTTTCTTTCTCGTCAATAAAATAGTATTGACATCGATAAGCCATTAGTTGTTTATATTTATTAATCAGGTGAGAGAGTAAACAAAGTTGGTAGCATTCATGGCGGCTATAACTTATAAGATTATAATCTCCTTATTCTTTGTTTATTAGTTGGTCTAAAATAGTAAGGCTTCTTTTAAGCAATATATACAAAGCTTCATCAGTTGGAGATCAAATGAATTAAGAGATCTTATACTTCTTTTTTATTAAACAAAGAGGCTAGTGGTTTCAAGCAGTCAGGAAAATTAAACAATAAATAATTAGTTTGCAAGTCACTCTCTTTGTATATCTTTTTTAAGGGCATGTCACTATATTAGTTGGGGACAGTGGAAGACGCATTTGAAATGATCTTCTATTTCTCCTTTGATTTGTTATACTTTTTTGGTACATGATCTGATTATTCTAATATTGCAACATTCCAGAAATAGAAATGCTTGGCTTTTATCAGAATGTTTGCCTTTGCCTTTGAATCCAAACGGATCCACTAAAGCAGCTTCTGCATATTGTAGATTTTATGTATGGTGATAGAGTTATTTGATTCACAGTTATTAATTATTTTTCAAACACACATCATCATCACTGTTAATCAATGTATATAAACCTTCATCACTTTGAGATTGAGTCAAGTCAGGGATTCTATAATCTTTTGTTTTTGTGAAAAGAATGAGTCAGGATATCAATAATTAGCTATCAGTCACTGTCTTTTTATATATGTATATACTTAGGGTGTGTCATTATATATCTTTAATATAGTATTAAGATGTTGATTTAACATATAATGTAGTCGCTCAAGATCCACAAAACAAGTGGGTAGTACCACACTTAATAAAAGAGCATATCTCCTTTTTGTAAAGTGCAATATTTTAAGTGTCTATTACCAGAGCATATCATGATGTTAAACTGGGGTTACCATTATTGCTGATTGTGTAGCAGCTATGCCATGTAAAGCAGAGAGTATTAGATGTTATAAAGGATTAAAAATTATTGGTGGTGGTGTTATTAAGCAACTTAGAATGTTAATTGCTTTGGTTGAATACCGTGGAAAAAAAAATATTATTGAGATGAGAAGTTCTTGTTTATGACAATCAATATTGGCAAGTCGATTGATACTCCTCAACTAACATGATAAAAAAAATCGAGCAAATAATTGAGATTTATACTCCTATTATGTTATTAAATGTGAAAATCTATTAATCTAACAAATAAGGTCATAACAATTTTATGAAAATTTGATGTTAAAAATAATATAAATTGTAAAAAAGCAAAAGCTGCAGGTTTTGGATGATCGATTGGATTAACGAAATAAAAGACGAGGAATTGATTCGTTCTCAAATCATAAATAATGTAGGTTGAAATGCATTGCAAAAGAAATAGGTCATGTTCATCCTCTACAAAGCAAAACAACGTGCTTTCCTACAATTCTAGTGGCTTCATACACAGATTTTGGACCCAAAAAAAGTGTTATACTAACGTCTTCTCTGCATATGATTGCATTGACTGATAAGTGATTATCGTGACCACCAACTTGCGCTTTATCTCAACGTGTTCATCCAAGTACAAACGAAACTAGCACCTTTTACAACATTAGGTTGCAAGGTTCATGTTACAACTTCAAAGTTTGGATCCTAAGCTTAAGTTACTTTAAATATTTAGAGAAATAGTTTTATTATTTCTATAATATTCAATTTAGATAGGATTTTTTAAAGTTTTATAAAAAAATGTTAATTTAACCAAATTCTCTTTATTTAGTTTTTTGTTTGAGAAAAAAACAACAAAACTCTTCTTTCAAACTATAATCCAAGAGTGCTGTAAAGTGTAAACGTGTAAAGGTTAAAGGTGCTAAAAGAAGCAGTAAAAAATTGACAAGTATTGGATCATAACTATTGGACCTAGGCAGGCACGTGATTCCTGACCTCGGCCCATAACTATTGGATCATCGTACGGTGGGCCCATTATCCGAGAAAGCAAGAAACAAGAACGTGTCACAGCCACAGATGATGGCATAACACGTATACATCGAATGAATAAGAAAAGGGAGAAAAAGAATGGGCCTGGGATGAAAGGACAAAACTGCCCCTGCAGAAAACAACAATTCTTCCTGGACCAGAGTCTCGAAAACGGACAAAGGGTGGGACCCACTAGTGGTGAAAAATTGAAGAGAGAGAGAAAATAAGGATAAAGAAAGAAAGGGACATTAATGTGTTAGAAGAAGAGGTGAGTCATGGGTGACAATTATGTCTCTTTCGGATAAGTCCACCACCTGTTTCCTGGAACCACCACTCTTATCAATCACTAAATACAAAGACTATGTCTCACCATTATATTAAATACAAGCCTTAAACTTAATTAAGGTTTACAAAATAAAAGATTAATTGTAATACTTGTTTAAGGAATGGAGTAAATTATCACGCAATCTAACTAGTAACTACGTGTATTTTGTGTATTGTAAAATACCAATACTGTTAAAGAAGACTTAAAAATGATACACCAAATCTCTAATACGTATTAATTAGTAATTAAGAAAGATGAATTATGTTTAGGTGGAGAATGGGCCCCACCAGAAATGAGTATTTTACCCAAAATCATATCCCAAGTGGTTCTCGTTTCTTCTATAAATTCCCTCGTTCTCATCTCTTTTATTTCACTACTAACGTTTCTCTGAGCTTTGTTGTGTTGTACGTTGCAAACAGAAGAAGGAAAACATAAAAAATAAAAACGGAGAACAGAAAGATGAGTTATTTGAACCGTGTTTGGATGGCGGCCACGGTGGCGGTGGCCCAGGGTCACACCGATCCCGGCCACAAGTGCAAGACGGCGCTTAACTCCATCCACCAAAACCGCAGCCGACTCTTCTCTGGCGGAGCCCTGTCGGAGCTGCGCCCTTTGTCCGGTGTTGTGAGATCTGACATGGCTGGCCCCGTGACGGGGAGCTCCGACGTGGAGAATAGGGTGGCGCAAGCCGACGATTCTCTGAGGAAAGTGATGTACTTGAGTTGCTGGGGCCAGGGCTGAGCACGCGTGGCGGTGACAACGGTGGAGATTAAAGTGGTCGCCGGGAGAAGTGACCCTGGCCTTGTTACCGGGTCGGGTTTGGATCTGAGTTGACCTGACCGAGTCAGTGAGATGACTCGGTTGGAGAGAAGAACTTGGAACGATGTGATGTTGTATATAAAATAGTTATGTACAGAAGATAATGGGTTTTTCCCACTTTCGAGTGGATGTGATGATGAGATCTGAATCATTAATAGTGATACCTAAAATTAGACAAACTCTACTTCCTTTCCATTATCATCAACTTTGGGTTTAATTTAACTGTATATCTTTGAATCATAATGATGCCTTTAACCATTATGATTGTTTAAGGCTTAAACTCTCTCAACCTGAAGATTTAAGGATATTAAGGTTTGAATTTTTGTAAAAGGATATTTTTCCGAAGTATATTTGAAAATCAGAGGACAGTGGTTAAGTTGAAGAAAGGTTGATGTAGCAAAATTTGAGCAAGCATCTGCTTATAGAATCAAAACAAATTCAAGAACAGCAGATTTTGAGAAATGATTAATGATTGTAAATTGTAGACAACCGTAAGATTTGGGGAAGACGGTGTTCTAATTCTCGCATCAATTGAAACAAGATTAATAACTTAATGATGATTGATCAATTGGTATTTTAAGGCTAGGTGCTGGCAGGGTCTGACTGACTTCTTTTATTAAGCTCGATTTTGGTAAAGTGAAAGTGAGTACAAATAAAAGGTGCTTTCGATCTTGTTCTTTAATTAAAATTGACGTTACAAATTAATAATTGGTGTATTAAGGCGACATTGTATTTTACTTGAAGAGTAGTACCAAACTTTTTCATATTTAGCTTGTATTATGTTATGAATGGAAGTTCACTCAATAGATAAAAAATTGAATAAACTTTCGAGTATGCTTTCTAGTCACAAAAATGGATGCAACCGTGTGTTACAGTAGTAAGGTACAGTGTTTACACTTTACAGAGGGGAGTGGGGTAAACTTTTTGGAATCAGAAAATTAGAGAGCCAACAGCATAACAAAAAGGAAACAGAATGTAAATGGAAAAAAAAATAAGGATTCAAACATTCACAACCAAACACACTGCAAGGTACTGGGGCAATCAATGGTCCTGTAGTGACTAGCAATGTTATTCACAGAGAGGAAGCCTTTTACAACTTAAGTCGATGCAGGTAACGAGATATTTCTCTGGTTCTGGTTTCCAGCGCTTGGTTTTATCTCCCATGATAGTAGCACAAGTTGCTCTTCGTCGGGATGGATAAAAGGCAATGAAATCTCACGGATCATCAGGTCGCCACAAAATGGGCATTCACTAGCTATTGCATCATCCAGTTGTGACCGGAGCTGCACATAATTTGACATCAGTACATCAGGTTATTCAGCGTAGTTCAACTGCATCAATGTACAAGCATTTAACACCCCAATGTAAAGTTCACCGAGATGCTAACGCACAAGTTTTTTTTTTTTTTTTTTTACTTTTTCATGCCTAATGAACTTGGTAAGTATAGATAAGTAGCTTAAAGAATTTCCAGCGGCAGCAAAGTATATGTCAAAGACCTATATGAATTATTACATGCTAATGCAAATTACGATGGATATTTGAAGCTCAAAGTTGACACCAATCACAGCCCATTGAAATAGTAATGGTAGAAGAAGAAAGGGGATTTGAAGCTTAAATTTGAATGCAAGAAAAATGTAATGTTGAGCAATAACACGAGCATGAATGAAAGTTCAGGACAAACCTTGTCTGCGGTGCTCATGCTAGGAATGGACTCTTCTGGAGAAAGGGTGCCATTGGATTCTCTCCTTGTTTCACTGCCCATCAAAGTAAGTTGCTTCTGCAGATCCAGTATATACTCAGCCTGCAACATTTTCCCAGTAGATTTAATCTTAGTAATAAGAATATGCTGGTTTGAGGTGGGGGGCAACATTTTTGACGGCATGCAAACAAGGTCATGACAATTATAACAGAACTAGAGAATGAAATTTATGAATCAACCTCTTTAGGATGTAAAACTGACGATATTGTCAATTATGACCACTGTATTAACCCATATTTAAGGGTTCAAACAGCATTTTTGTGCTACTAACGTATGAAACAATTAAGGAATTTTGTTTATCCCCTCTCAAAACTATCCAATTTTTTTCTATGTTAGACAGCTAAAGATCACAGATCTGATCAGATCACTGTATCCTTTCAGCTTTGTTAGATTGGCACTTCATACACGCATCAGTGTTCGACTAATCTGAAACAATAAACTTTCAGGTAGCATAATGTGAAGTAGTCAGCAATGAAATGAGATGGCAATTATGAGATAAAGGTATTTACCTGGGAATCAACTGTACAACGAGTCACATGGGCAATCAGGCATTGGGCGTGGAAGGCATGTCCACACGGGAAGATATAAAAGGGAGCCATTTGTCCTACTAACGTATAACCACGACCCATGCCGAACTCCCTCCCAGCACTTAGAATTTTTCGACGGCAAACCTAGGGAGTCAGATTAAAATAATTTCAAATGAGGGCATTAGTTCAGCAAACTAAATCAGAAAAACTAAAGCAGATTGATCTTAACATATCAGGAAGAGCAATACCCCACAGTCCTCATCTCGATCAATAATAGTGCATCTTTGGGCAAGAGCACTAATATCATTTCGGATGTTGTCGGCACCACGGGTTGCATCATTCATCTCTTCTTTCAGCTGTTCAATTTGCTTATTGTAATCCTCCAATGATGAGCATATAGCCTCCTGCATAAATTTAGATAAATTCACCAATGGAAGTATAGAAAACCAATTGCAATTATCTAAGACATGTAGACAAATGACTTCACATATAACATTCTTTAGTTAATTTTCGGAAGTAAGTACTACATTATATGTAAATGTCAACAGATAAAAAAAATAAAAATTAGCACGTATCACTAGATAAATTGATCAGATTTGAAAATTGTCAGAGAAGATGGTAAAATCAGATTAAAAATAACAGTACCTTGAAGTCATCAATCAGAGCAAAATCTGGAAAGAATGGTAATATATCCTCAATCTTTAGCAGGCCATCAGTTTCTTTAAGAAATGCAATTGCCTTCCTAATGTTTTCCCTCTTAGTTCCTTTTTCTTTCTCAACAACATGCTTAGCAATCATTAGCCAGAGTTTCTTTCTCAAATCTTCATCATCTTCAACCTTATCAGCTTCAGCCATAGCAAGCTCTGAATCAACCTGGTTTAGAAAAGTGAGTTAGCACAAAAGAATCACTATTAAAAAATGAAAAAGCAAAATGTCTTCAAAATGTTTCAAGGCTTATTTTTATTTCATTTTTGGGATGTAAAAATATTGAAAATTTAAAAACCTTCTAACTGGATATGTTGAACTACTTTTTCAAAACCTGGCTCTGGGAGAACTATATATTCTACCAGACCACTGACTTATTCCAGCCTCAATGGAGAAGGGGCCATAAAGGAAGAAAAAGAAAAAGCCCACTAAAAGGCACTTTTGGGCATCATAAATGAATTATTCCCTAAATCAAGACTTCTAATGCATAGAGAATAAAGCATCTGTGTTACAATTGGTTGCTCTAGCAGAATCCCCAAAAGATATGACTACAAGCGAAAATAATCAAGGATGAAGAACATTGGTAAAAAAGTCAAGCAGATAGTTCTAATTAAGCTGCACCATTTTTGTATTAAAGCAGAGGTGAAGTTGGAGCTTAACAATCAATATATGAGTAATGCTAACAACAAACTCTCAAACTCACATTTTTTATACACATGCTTTATTACTGACTTAAATTTATTGGAAAACACAATTTTATGTGGATTCCACTTCCTATTTTAATGAATCTTGTCATGAGTTCATAATTTTTAATAAATTATAACCAATAATAGAGAGTATATAAGGAGTGTGTTACCACTCCTTGTCATCATATTAGTCTCACCTGTAAGGCAAGAGCAACTGCTTCTTCATGCATCGACATCATGCTGTAGATATGAACACAGGCACGCATTCGTTTTTCCTTGAGGCAAAGACGCAAGGCATACTTAGGATCATAGAAGAACTCAGGACCATTTTCTGGTCCTTTCCCAAATTTGCATTGTAGGAAACGTAGAAGTGAACTATCATCTTCCTGAGTAGACAAAAAAACAAACAAACACATAAATAGGCACAGCTGTAAATACTAGACAATATCCAAGAAGTTGTAAATTCCCTCAAATCTAATCAAGACAAACCACTCTTTTCAGGTATCAAACTGCAAGAAATGAGACAAGTAGACTCTATCAAACCTCAATTGCTTAATCAAGGTTATAATTTAAAAAGAAAAAGGCACATATTAGAATTTCCATTAAATAATTCCGTGAAGAATCTTGTTCAACTTATATTTATAATTTCGATCCCAATCATGTCCTGGGAGTGATAATGAACATACAATAAAGAATATGATCTTCATCCTATAATGTTAATGAAACAACAGGCAATTTGATTTGATCTTAGGAGATTCTAATATGCTTAAATTGCAGTACGAATAAACTATGCTTAAAAATAACTCTTTTCATTTCAGTTAGAACGAATTGTCACCGTAAAGAGTACTTTTTGTTTATGAACAGGAGAAGTAAAAAGCCACGTAAATTTATGGTAAATAGTTTAGATATGTGAGGTGAATAAATAAACTATGCACATATTAACAACTCGTTCTGAAAATTGCACAAGCATGGATGATTGTAGCATCCATTTGTTCATTTGCATGCACACATATGTTCATCTATACATTAATATAGATGATATCATAATACAATAGGAATGTGAAACACCCTTCATAATCACCACATCGGAAGTACACGGATAATGGATGTATAAAGCAAGCCACCCAACCTGTTTTGCATATAAAGAAAGTAGCAGGTTATGAACTCCAGGGTCTTCATTGTGTAATCGATGAACACAATATTCAAGATATTTAATAACTTCATGTGTCTCGTTCCTGCATGTAACATATAAATTAACTTAAAATTCCAAAACAATATCAATTATTTTACAAGATCTGTCAGATGAAAGACGCGGAGCACAAAAAGAATAAATAGATAAATTGATGAACACAATTATGACTGAAACATTTAACTGAATGAAAATGCAAACACAAATATGCAATACTTTGCATGTGGTTCGCTTGAATAGCGCATCATTGCAGGAATCAGTTTCCTTGGGTTCAGATTCTTTGTAGCCATCCATGATTCCACAGTTTCATACGCATCAAGGGCAATGAGGTCTGGAGCAAACTTATACTGCATAGGACAGTCAATATTGTTCATTATTTGTTATATTTCTCAAAAGAAATTGAGAGCCTACAGTTCCAATGAAAAGTAGGAGAATGTTTACTTGACAACACATTATTCACATACAACCAAACTACAATTACTTATGTAAATGTAATAATAATATTTATTATTATATTAATATTACTAGTTGTTGACGAGTTGTTTGGGGTGTCAATAGAGACAATAGATTTTCACACCCTAAATCCTAAAATTTGAATCATACCAGCAGATCTATAGGCACAGAAGGTTTCTTAAGCACTTCCAATGCTTTCTTTGATTCTCCTTGCTGGAAAAAGAAAAAATACCAGAAAGTAAGAATAATGAAAAGGAAATAAAATCAATTTGACAATGTATACTTCTATAAAGTAATAGAGAAATGGATTCTGGAAATGGAATCAGGGCACCTGAATGTAATGGTGAACTACAATCTCATACTGCCCTTCTAAGCTAGCAAAATATACCAATTCTTCAACCCTTCCATAACTGTTGAAAATTGCAAATGCAAAATTATATAAAGATAAACAGCTGTATAATATATAACTAACTTTGTTCAAACTTATAAATGGCAAGGAAATAAACCAGTAAATAAATTGGATAATCTATTCAGATAGATATGATAAACAATGACTGATTATGTTCCTGTATTGGGACTTGGGTTATTGGGGTGTGTAAGCCCCACATCAAGTAGTATAGGATGTTCAATTGAGTACTTAAGTGACTTGGTTTTCATCCTGAAAAGCTTATATTTGAGGGAGTGTTCCTTGAGTGCTTAGATGTTTCTCAATTGCTTACAGAGTTGGATACGTAACTGTAGTAGAGTGCCAGCCCCACTGGGACATCGACTATTAGGAGGGTAGCTATGATAGAGACTTGGACATTATGGGGTGTCTGAGTTGAATTTGCAATTGAAAAGTTGCAATACCAGATCAAGGCAGAATACAAAGGATGGAGTCATCAGTCATCACCACTGAACCTATATAGCTAATAATTCATACATTAATACTCATTTTTTTCAAACATAGGTATGCGAAGGCATCACTATAACTTGCAATCCCAACTAGGTTGGCACCCCAACTTCTATCAATCATCTGTAACATACCCAAAATAGCATTAAAGAAAGAAAAAAAAAAATACAAAATAGTGGGGGGACTGTACCAAAACCCATTCAAGGAACAAACCTATAAAAAAAGTAGATTAAACCTATCCCTAAAGAATTCATATCTAATAAAATGTAGAATAGTATCCCACTACATACTACACAGTGTTCTAACCCCAAAGTTTGCATATATGCAATCTTGTCATATATTAAAAAACTTCTTGTCATCTTCAATCCTTTTAGACACAAAGAGTTTTCACATTTTAGAAATTTAATAGTTTCTCTTGAATAATTTCTCTTCATTATTTCTATAAAGGAGTCAAACGAAACAAATGTTTCACATTTGGTTTTGAATTATAGACTTAAATCAAAATGATGAATCAACATCAACTATAACCTTAGTCTTCCAAACTAATGATGTGGATTCGTTTCCCGTTTTTCGCTCCCCGTTTATATTCTCTATTTATTCCTATTTAAATCTATCGTTTTTCTTCTAGAATGAATCCATAATTATTAAAGAATTTGTTGATTATTCATTTTCATAAAATTTTAAAAAACATCTGAAAACTATGAAAACTAATCAAATCAAACAAGTATCTAGACACTCCCACTCAGCCCTTAACGAACATCATTTATCCTTCCAACATCTTTTTGTTAAATTATGTTGAGATCTGTTGTATTCTTTTTGTATGTTCCTTAGATTAGGGTTAAGGGTTTGGACTAAGGCTCATATCCTCTTTATTGTATTTCTTTTTCTACAAATACAATGTATCAGTGTCTTTGGGCACTATATCAAACCTTAAATAAGTTTTCTCAAGTTGGTATCAGAGCGGATAAGATCCCGCACTGGTTTTCGGTCACCTCTGTCATCTCCGACCACCGTGGGCCGCCGTCCACTGCTGGCCACCGTATCCTTTCAAACTGGCGAAGAAGGGGTTTTGTGTGCCTCGAGGAGCGCGACCCACCCCAGTAAGTCACTTCTCCGCCAGCTGCCCCACGCACCGTCACACGCGGTCGTTCCAGGAGCCTTCTTAGGTGCATGTGTCCCACGCGCCACCTTTCAATGGCCGGAATCAAGACCAACCACCTTCGTTCGACTCACCGGTGTCCTCCAAGTCCAGTGGTACCCTTATTTTTTTTGTTTGAGAACTATGTGTGAAAGGTCTCATGATTCGTTGGCTTTATTTGTCTCTTCTGGTTTAGATGGCCTCATCCACAGCCTTCACCTTCTCTGCTACTCCCACCATAACTAGTGTCAGGCTCAACTGGAAAAATTACTTATCCTGGTCTGCATCAGTTGAATTGTGGTTTCTCAGTCAGGAGCAACACGACCATTTGGAGAAGAATGTAGACTCTATTTCTGTTGTAGAAAGGTCTCAGTGGGAGAAAATAGACTTCCAACTTTGTGCAATCTTGTGGCAGTCTGTGGAACCGGAAGTTCTTGAGCTTCTCAGGTCATTTGGAAGAAGGTTCAAGACATTTTTGCTAATGATATTCAACATCTCTTTAACGCAACTCAAAGAGTGACGTCACTTAAGCAAACCAATCACAACATCATGGCTCACATCGCAAAAGCTAGGGCTGTTGTGGAAGAATTAAAAAAGTTTCTTGTAGCAAATACCTTAGAGGAGTTAAACACCAAACTCAATAAACTATATATGGTTCTAATTTTGAGAAATCTACATTTTGATTTTGATCACATGCGTAATCAAATCCTAGCTGGCGATCAGGTTCCATTAATGAATAATCTTGTCACTAGGTTGATTCGGGCTCCTAATCTCATGGCAGATGAGAATCAGGTGGAGACTGTTGAAACTTCTACTATGGTTGCTCCTCGTGGTCGAGGGGGAGGATGCAATAGTTGAGGAGTGTCGTAGTACGAAAGTTCGTCCTTAATGCTCCTATTGTAAGAGGATGGAACACATGCAAGAAAATTGTTATTCCTTGCATGATTTTCCTGACAAGACTACCCATGCATCTAAATTAGAGAAGCCAGATATGAAGATTTCTGATGAGGAGTATCAGCAGTTTTTGAAGTTCAAATCTGGAAAGTTTAGTAGTCAGGGTCAATCCTCTTCAATGCCAAGTGTTTTAACTGCATGCATTTCTCACTCTGTGGAAAATCAGAACCCATGGATTCTTGATTCAAGTACCTCTGATCATATATCTGGTAATAGTTCCTTGTTTTCCTTCATGTCCTATCCTAAAATTCCTCACTTAATCACTGTAGCTAATGGATCCAAAGTGAAATCTCAAGGAGTTAGCCAAGTTCCCTTAACCTCATCTCTCAATTTAAATTCTATTATTTTCATTCCTAATTGCTCTTATAACTTGATCTCTCTAAGTCAACTTCCTCGTTCTTTGAATTGTTCTGTAACTTTACTTCCAATTCTTTTGTGATTTAGGAACATGGTACTGGTTGTCTGATTGGAGAAGGACATGAATCACTGTCTAAAACCAAGTCCTTCAGTGTCTTGTCTGGTTTCTCTTGTCCCTAAATTTTTGCATGATCGTCTGGACTACCCAAGTCTATCTAAGTTGAAAGTGATGACTCTTAATCTTCAACATCTTTGGGTTTTTTGTCAATTAGGAAAACATGTTAGGTATACTTTTCCTAAACAGCATGAAATTTGATGCAATTTTCCTTTTTCAAATATTCATTCTGATGTTTAGGGACCGAGTCGTGTTTCCTCTTCTGGCTTTCGGTATTTTGTGATTTTTATTGATGAATTTTCTAGATGTACTTGGGTTTATTTAATGAAAGACAAATCTGAACTTTTATCTATTTTTGCGTCCTTTTTCAATGAAATTAAAACTCAATTTGGGAAGATAATTAAAGTTCTCAGAAGTGATAATGCCAAAAAATATTTCTCTGCCTCCTTCTTTTCTTTTTTATCTTCCCAAAAATTTTACATCAATCAACTTGTCCTCACACCCCACAGCAAAATGACATTGCATAAAGGAAAAATAGACACCTTATTGAAACTGCACACTTTCTAATGTTGAATGCTAACATCTCTATTCATCATTGGGGAGATGCAGTTCTCACTGCTTGTTTTTTTATTAATCCGATGTCATCTTCCTCTCTTAAAAATCAAATCTCACATTCTCTTATCTTCCCAGATGATCCCCTTTTCCATGTATTTCCTCGTGTATTTGATTGCACTTGTTTTGTTCATAATGTACTAAGTGCTAAGGCCATTAAATGTGTTTTCTTAGGGTACTCTCACCTTCAGAAAGGGTATAAATGTTATTCTTCATCTTCCAAAAGGTATTATATGTCTTACCTTCTTTGAGGAAACATCTTTCTTTTCTTCTCCCTTGGAAGATGGTTCATCAATTCAACAAGTTCTGTCTATACCTTCATGTGATCCACTTATAATACCTGATCCTTCCCCGATTCAGTCTACAGGTCATAATGATACTCCTCTTCTCACATATCACCGCAGGACCCCTCCTACACCTTTACCAATTCCTACAAATAATTGTGATTCAGATCCGTCTCCATCAGTTTCTCATACCATGAATCCTTCAACCTTATCTCCCACTTCTGATTCTGGATGGCCTATTGCACTTAGAAAAGGTACTCGTTCCACTCGAAATCCCTTTCCTATTTATAATTTTTTAAGTTGTCATTGTCTATCTCCTTCATATTCTTCTTTTGTTGTCTCTTTGGCTGATACGTCTATTCTTAATTATGTTCATGAGATACTTGATCACCCTAGATGGCGACAAGCCATGATTGATGAAATGCCGGCCCTTGAGCACAATGGCACTTGGGAGCTTGTCCTTCTTCCTCCTGACAAAAAGACTATGGGTTGTAGATGGGTCTATGAAGTTAAAGTTAATAATAATAGTAAAGTGGATCGTCTCAAAGCTCATTTAGTCACTAAAGGCTTCACTCAAATTTATGGCATTGATTATTGTGATATATTTTCTCTCCAGTAGCTAAGATTTCCACTATTCGTCTGTTCCTTGCTATGGCTGTTATTCGTCATTGGCCCCTTCACCAAGTGGACATTAAAAATGTATTTCTTCACGGAGATCTTGAGGAAGAGATTTATATGGAACAACCTCCTGGCTTTGTTTCTCAGGGGGAGTCTAGTTTAGTGCGTAAGTTACACCGGTCTCTTTATGACTTGAAGTTGTCACCCTGAGCTTAGTTTGGAAAATTCAGTCATGTTGTGCAGTTGTTTGGCATGAAAAGGATGAAGGAGAAAAATTGTCAGATCCAGAAAGATATAGGAGGTTGGTTGGTAAACTCATTTATCTTACTATTTCCAGACCGGATCTTTCTTATGCAGTTGGAGTAGTTAGTCAATTTATGCAAAATCCTTGTGTTGATCACTGGGATGTCTTGATTCGCATTCTGAGATATGTTAAAGAGGCCCCAGGATAAGGATTGTTATATGAAGATAAAGATAATACTCAAATTTTAGGTTATTGTGATGCAGACTGGACTGATTGTCCCATTGATAGAAGATCGACTACTGGGTATTGTATTTTTATTGGAGGAAATTTGATTTCTTTGAAGAGTAAAAAGCAAAGTATTGTTGCTCGATCTAGTGCAGAAGCTAAATATAGATCTATGACATTTGCTACATGTGAACTTGTGTGGATTAAACAACTCCTTCAAGATTTAAAATTATGATAATGGGCAGATGAAGTTATTGTGTGATAATCAGGCAACTCTCCATATTACCTCCAACCCAGTCTTTCATGAAAGAACAAAGCATATTGAGATTGATTGTCATCTTGTGAGAAAAATTGTTGTTTAAGGAACTTGTAACTGAATTTGTAAGCTTCAATGAGCAACTAACAGATATTTTAACTAAATCCTTAAGAGGACCTAGGATTCAATTCATTTGTTCCAAGATTGGTATATACAATCTATATGCTCTAACTTGAGAGGGAGTGTTGAGATCTGTTATTCATGTATCTCTTTGTACTCTTTTTGTATGTTCCTTAGACTAGGGTTAAAGGTTTGGGTTGAGGCCCATATCCTCTCTATTGTATTTCTTTTTCTATAAATACAATGTATCAGTGCCTTTGGTCATTGTATCAAATCCTAAATAAGTTTTCTCAAGTAATTAAACTATAAATGAAATTACTTGAGTTGTGGTTGAAAGAATTTCAAATATATAAACTACAAGGAATTTTTTATAAATAACATTGAAAACAACAATAATGCAACCGGAATTAATGTCCAAGCAAAAAAAACGCAACAGGTATATCAAATATCAGTGGCTACCTTTCTAAAAGTTTCATTGTAGTTGTTTCATCCAATACATCCTTGCTGTCACTGAGAAAAGCACGAAACTCTTTAATAATTGATTGGTACTCTAAATTGTTATTCTCTGATGCAGAGTCATCTTCCAACAACAATCTGTTTATCTAAATGACCAAAAGATAGGAAACTCAAATTAATTTGAATGCAACAAAATATCTATAAACTCACATAATTAAGATTAAGAATACAACTGAAGGAGTCACTTAATTGCCTAAAGCCATAGTAGAGTATCAGAAATTGCTCCACTACTCTAGTGATTTTTTCAACAATAAAAAACTAAAGCTTAAATCAGTATAAGGATTGTATTAGCATTGTGAACACAGTATATTAGTTGTTTCACATCAAATCAATTGCAAGACATTAAAGCTACATAGTAGTGTGGGTTAGACTTGGATTGTAAAACATGGAACCAAACAACCACTGAGAACTAGCAATGCAAACTGGTTATTTCACAAAGGTAGGGTTTGGGGCTTTTCTTACACACAAGTTTATATTTAACTTACATTAGTTAAAGTAGTAAAAAATGGTTTTTGTTAGATATTATTAGTCACAATATATGCATTTATCATATTTACTTATATGACTCTTAATTATAAATATATTATCCTATGTGTATTTTAGACATAAAAAGGAATTAACCCTATACCTAGTTTCATATATTCAACATGGTATGAGAACTTAGGTTCTCTTTTTGTTGTTTTGTTGCCCTTGCACCTGCCACCGTCGCCTATGCTGCCAAAACCACCATCGTCACCAGAGTCGGAGTTACAATTTAGACCAAAGATTTTGACAAACTTAGATATTTCTTAGGGATTGAGGTAGCACAATCCAATAATGACATTGTTATATCTTAAAGAAAATATGCATTGGATATTTTAGAAAAAATTGGGTTGATAAACTCAAAATTTGTTGACACACCCATGGATCCCAATACCAAACTTCTACCTAATTAGGGGGAGCCTCTCTCAGATCCTAAGAAGTACAGAAGATTAGTTGGAAAATTAAACTATCTTACTCTTACTCGTCCTGACATTTCCTTTGCAGTTAGTGTGGTGAGTCAATTTCTTAATTTCTCATGTGCAGATCATTGAAGTGCAATCATTCATATATTAAAGTACATTAAAGGATCTCCTAGAAAATATTTGTTATATGATTACAATAATCAAGCTAAAGGATAAAGTTGTCTGTGTTATTCAGATGTTGACTGGGCAGGATCTCCTTCTGATAGAAGATCTACTTCTGGATACTGTGTTTCTATTGGAGGTAACTTGATCTCTTGGAAGAGCAAGAAACAAAGTGTTATAACAAGATCTAATGCAGAATCAGAATATAGAGCTATAGCCTCAGCCACTTATGAACTTGTTTGACTTAAACAATTACTTAAACAATTGCAATTTGGAGATATCACTCAAATGACACTTATATGTGACAATCAGGTTGTTCTTCACATTAGCTCTAATCCTGTCTTTCATGAAAGGATCAAACACATTGAAGCTAATTGTCATTTTATTAGAGAAAAAATTGTATCTGGAGACATTAAAACCGTGTTTGTTAACTCAAATGAACAGTTAGCAAATATTCTCACCAAGTCTTTACGGGGACCTAGAGTTGATTATATTTGTAACAAATTTGGTACATATGATTTATATGCATCAACTTGAGAGGGAATGTTAGATATTTTAGATATTATTAGTCACAATATATGCATTTACCATATTTATTTGTATGACTCTTAATTATAAATATATTATCCTATGTGTATTTTAGACATAAAAGAGAATCAACCCTATACCTACTTTTCACTATATTCAACAGTTTTCTTATAACACTTACTGATGAGACCGTGGTTTTTGTATTTGTTTCAAAGTGTTTAGCTTAGGCTATGAGGAAACTAACCCTGGCTAGGAGCATTTTATGCTCATCATTCCCGTAAATAAAGCTCTGATACTTTCAATACAATTTGCATCCACAACAATAGGAATTGTTTCTTTTTCCTATCACTCACTCTTCATGCCCCATGTACAATTTAAGGACATATTATGCAGAATTAAGCAACATTCTAGTTTAAATTTGGATACCATTTAAGGTTTTGTTATGTCATTGTTCATAGAAAACGAGATAAAAAAATAAAATGGGAAAATAAATTATCCTTCCAAGTGATCAAGAATGTAAAACCTTGTCCAGGTACAATTCAGTTGCCCAAGTGGATATCATTGTTATTTGGCATTTGTCACTCTTTTCCAAATTATCAAGCTTCCGCAATAAGAAAGTTCTCAAAGCATCCTAGAATAAAGAAAGAAATCAGTGAATCTGTATAAGCATGAGTCAAATTTCATATCCGAGAATTTAAAAGTTAAATTCAGGACAAACCAACTCAAATCATTTTGCATATGCCCACATTGGAAAGCAGTAAGTGTAGAGATTAAATGCACATAAGAAAATACAATTACGCAATACAAATTTAACATTTATTACACGTAATACACTCAAGTATTAGATGCAGGCTGAATGAGAGAAGAGTATAATCAAAAAGATTTTCATCTTGACAGACAAAATTACAATGTAAACACTTCTCAAATACACATATTGACAAAGAATGCAAGCTACCGTCTAATTCATATTTAAAGACCAGCAACATTAAAAGTACCTGTTCACCAGCAGTAATGAACTTCAAAGTGACCTCTTCAAATGATAAAATATAATTGATCTGCAAATCATATTCTTGTCAGACTTTTTTGTCTTTTGGATGATCAAAACAAATTCCCAAGTGTTACTACTAGAAAGCATGAGCCACGTTGCTACAGTACAAGACAATCAAAATTATCATAATAGAGCACCATATGTAAAGATGATGATGCCAAAAAATTCTAGACCTCCAAAGTTTAAATATATGAACATACCTTGTAAAATATTCAGTGGCCTATATTTAGTGAGTGATGCTTCTTAAATAAAAAACAAAGCTCATGACAATTTTAAACTATTACATATGGATCTCCCTGCCTGAAGATTATTATTCATTGGGAAAAGATGTAAAACATATCCACACACAATTATTTTTAAGTAATCAAGTGTCAATAAAGTAAAGAAAACTCCGGCATTAATATAACAAACTAAATATAGCAAAATAATGAACTCAAAAACAGGATTTACTTTGGCATAGAAAGATGCAGCTCTAAAATAATCTTTAGAAGAAAATGCAGCTTCAGCCTGCACCACAAATTATTGAAATAAAACTCCAAATTATCTTGTGTAAAAAAAAATATCAAAAATTTAAGTTGCCTGACAAACTGTTTCTTCGGCGGCGCAGTAAAAGCAACTGAACAGTATACCTGCACTAAGTATACTTGGTCCCTTTGAAAAGGGTCACGGCAATTTGCTAAAGCAGCAGCATATTCGTTCATGTCAAGATATACTTTCCACATATCTCGGCCTTCATCATTGATAGACACCTACTAAAATATCATATAGTGGAGCAATTATAACCAAGCCAGTTAGATTCAAGATTCAGAAGGCTACAGTATTCAGCAAACACAAACCTGAAAGATGGAGTTTTGATCATATGCATAAAACAAACCAGCTGTGGCATCACTACACAACCCTATAATACCCTTTGATGCTGAATCAGAAGTTTGATCAAACTGAAGCTCCTCAATAATATTCTCACTAATTCTGTTTACAACCTACAAATGTTCAAATAATTTAGCAAGCGTGCATAAAACTCTCTAAATTAAGATTGTGTGAGGCACAGGAACTTTGATGTAAACAAAACTATGATACAGAAGTGCATACACACCTTGACCTTATTCCCTAGAAGCAACAAGAAATGGAATTCAGACAACGCCATTGAACTCGGTTTAACTACTTCAGCTCCTTCAGACAATTTGGAGTAGTCCAGAAGAGCCTTGTTCTCAATAAAATTTTCATTTCCACTTGAAGAGCTGTCAAAAAGTGAGAGAAAGGTGAACAAGTTATTAAAAACCAAGATGTAAGGATTCAGAGAAACAACAACAGCAACCATTTATGAAGCACAAATAGCATGCTCTGAAATGACGTTTGCAGAATCATGACCCACATAGTGAACATGGTCTGAATCAATATTGATTATAGATGAAACAGACAACAAAGTCAAGTCATTTTTTACTACCTCTGTTGTCCTCCAAAATTTAAGCCACCATGGTAAATACCAGCTCCAGAAAGCCATGCAAAATGTACAGCTCTCCGTTGCTTAATGAAAAAATGCAACTCACTGAAATATAATCAATAGAATGAAGTCTTAGAAAAGATACATCATATACAAACAATAAATATGAAAGACTTTACAAAAGAAAAGTAATTTTTTGCATTTAGACCAGTTACATTTTATGTTGAATGCTCATGATATAACACTAGTATTGTTTGTCTTTAGAGAGAGAGAGAGAGAGACTACTTGCCTGTTTGGTATGTCACCAGGAAGTTCCATAAAATGTACAGTACGATCTAGATAACCTGTAAAAACAGTCTACATTTCTATAACAGTCAGTAAAATGGAACTTTGAAATATAATGGAGGGTATAATAAAAAAAAGGATAGAGTGCAAGATTAATTTTCAGTAATGTGATACAAGAAGACACTGTATTTTAGAACAGACACGCAATATAACAGTAATCACCTGTTGATAAAGATTATATTACATTTTTTAATTATAAAATTGGTAGTATGTATACAATATAAATGAATATTATATTACATTTTTTTAATTTTAAAAATGGTAGTATGGATGGATATTAATCGAGGGAAATATAAAAAAATTGGAAATTTAGAGTTTGACTTACTTCCAGTGACCCAAAGCCAGTGAAAGAGTAAAGACGTGTAGGAGTAACAGCCATCACATAATATCTAGTCCCATTAATCATGCTAGCCGTTTCCATCTGAGCCAAAAGGACAAGAACCAGAATATAAATTGAATGCCTTAGTCACATCTGGGAAAAAAAAAGACTCTAAATTTCATAAAAATGAGATATAACGATAGATATTTTCTTGAAAAAATAACCTAAAACAGTAAACAAAAAAAGGATATACCTGCAAGCCCATAAAAGCTTCTGGAAGTTCTCTTAACTCAAAGAGAAACTTTATATACTTCTCTTTCTTTTCCTTCTCATCCACGGACAGCTCATGAAGTTGACCATTTTCTGTACCAAGAATAACTTCCTTCGTGGAAACTGCATTTAAAAAGTTTAATCAAAATCTCAAGCAGAAATGAATATCTGAAAGTCTTGTAATAAATAAATCTACAGCAATGGGCATAAGTCAAATTAAGCGATCAACTAACTACCTTCAGTTATCTGTTGCTTGTTCCATGCAACAGCATTTACAACAAGACCTTTCAGCTTGCTCAAAATTCGTGGTTTGGCCCATTTGGCATGAGTATAAAAAGTTTCAGCTCCTCCAGGACCAACAACGGTGGCAATACAGTGACTCCCTCCAGGATCAACAAAAACCCTGTGGATTGACTGGTCCCCAGGACGACCCACAGTAAGATCAATCTCTACATTCAAACAGACAAGATATAAGACACATCAATCCTACTGACGAAGCAGGATATAAAGAACAAGAAACAACTCCCAATTCCAGTATAAGCTCAAGTACATGCCACTATCAAGAACCCTTAAACAAATCATTCAAACAGTGATTCCTATTTTATATCTATGTTGATTCACAAATTACAATTAAACCCCAAATTTGACATTCAAAATGCCAAGGTTACTGAATTTGAAATACCCATTTCAATGGCAGGTCAAATACCAATTCGTTTCCACTACTTAAAAATCAATAAAGTATCCAAGGATTAGAAAGCTCAAAATTGAAACTTCACCAGATGAATTGCCAAGCCCAAAATCATGCCTGATGACCCATCCTCTGCTGGTTCCAATCACAATGACATCATTTCCAGCAGCCATGCAAGTGATAACTCCTCGCCCTTTTGCAGCATACCGTTCAAGAAGGTCCACTGTGAATACCTGCCTCCCTTGATCCATCTATCATTTTTTATGTGAAGAAAATAATATCACTAAACAGAAAATAAGAACAAAAATAAAACGCAGTTTTGAAAATGAAGTACACTTGATTATTGAAAATTGAAAACTTTCTTTACAAGAGGTCGGTGGTCTCAGACACTGTTCATAGAGTTTCCTTCCACCAGTCCCATGCACACAAAAAAATTGAATAAGGGGAGCACACAAATAGATAGTTGTCCAAGCAACCATTTTCTTCCGCTCCAAAAACAAGTATTGTTTCCATGCAATAAACTAAATTAATGATTAATGGTCTTATGATTTTTCCAATCTGATTCTGATTTGCACAAAACTACCAAAATTTCACATAATTTTTTTATTTATAAAAATGAAAATGAAGATACTGTTTTTAAACAGAAAATGTATTTGCGGAAACATGCTAACAAAACTATAATATCCTGTAGTTCTAAACTAGCTTTAAACGTAAGGATAAAAATTAACTTAATAAAATTTGGCATTCAGAAATTAATGGTACTAGATCAAGGAACAAATGAGAAATGGATAAACTATGGTACTACATCAAGAGCAATCATTCAAAGCCCTATCCCAGTAAGTGAGATCAACTACATGGATCACAGGACACTATTCCGCTCAGTCAAAAACCAAACCTTTGGAATTCCAACCATCCAAATTAATTTCCATTAGCGCACTAGAACTGAAATCTGTGACCGAACCTGATACAAGGTCAGATTTGGGTTTATTCAAGTTTCATTCGTTAATTAAGATATTAGGCTGGCCAGCTATTGGAATGTATTTATCAAAAACTATACTTAGGATTTGTGTCCCTTGTCAAGAAAAGCCCAGAAAGAGGTGAAGTCGATTGACTTCAACTCTTTGAAATGTGATATCCCACCACTTCAGTTCGCGAACAGTCTTATTCTCTACCGTAATGCTGTGAAAAACATGAGATTGAAGTGCCCTTTCAGCACTCTTGTTAGGATTTGTTGATACTAGAAATCTGATATAAAATTGTTTTGAAGGGCACACTGAATTGTCAGACAGATTTCTGGCAGCTCTGGATGAGTTAGACATCATAGGGTTACGTTGGACAAACAAAATGTCCATTCTTGATACATCAATCGTGAATGGAAAAAGAGAAGCAGAAAGATAAAAGAGAAATGGTTACCGTTGAACAAACCAAAGTGTCGAGCTTCGTCGCCGAATGGACGATGATAATTCCCGTTGGCACTTAACGTGTTTTTCTTCTCCACACCCAAATCACGCTGGAAAGGCACCTGTCATGGTTTTATCCAGGGGCCTTTTTGTAAAAACATAACTTTTGAGGTCTCTGCTGTGAAACCCGTCACATATGGGCATGAACACATTTTTCTTCTAAAATTAAGTTATTTATTATAATAATTTTAATATAAATATATTTTTATGATTTCATTTATTTATATATTTATTGAATGTCCTATTTTATCCCAAATGCAAAATATTTATAAAATATAATAAATGGAAAATATTCATAAATTATCGATTCTTAAATTAATGTTCTGTCTAAAAAAATTGTTACGACTTTAACTCTAAAAATTGGGACTTTAGATAATTTTAAAGCAAACCTAGTTTTTGGACCAAAAAAGCAAACCAAATTATAAATACTTTTTTTTTAAATTGGGACTTTAGATAGCGGTTCTGGGAACCGCTATCTAAGCTACTAAACAGAGCGGTTCTAGAACTAACCGCTATGAAAAGTGAATTAGATACCGCTCGAGCGAGACTAGTATCGCTCAAGCGAACTACAACCCAAGAATCCCAATTTTTTGCAGGTGGTGTGGCTCGAGCGATGTAAATTTCGCTTGAGCGCATGTTGACCTAGGGCTAAACGTCGATCAAAGTTAGCCGCATAATGTAACATGGGTGACCACATGTTTGAATCGGATATCGCTCGAGCGAGAATATTATCGCTCAAGCGCAACACAACCCGAGAATCCCCATTCTTAGCAGGTATAGTCGCTCGAGCGATGTAACTTTCGCTTGAGCGATATTAGAAAAATGAGATAATATGATCGATTATTTTAGGTTATAATCGATTATTAACATACGTTAGACAGCGGTGCATGGTTACGCGCTATCTAATATATATTTTTAAAAGCGGTTCTTATTAACCGCTATCTAAGTCGCTACGGGACTCTCGCGCTCAAGCGACTATGTAATCGTTTGAGCGACAGTTGAATCTTATATGTGGTGAACCAAGATTTATTAGATGGCTAACTGCGTAGGACGTTTCGTCTGTGGTTCAACAGTCGCTCAAGCGAGGATGACAGCGCTTGAGCGATGGAACCTTAACCAAAGGGGACCCTCGGTTTCACAGTTTGGGGCTATCACCTCCTTCGTGGTCACAGTTTGGGTACTTGAAGAAGTCGCTTCTGAGTGGGTGCGCTTGGAGCTTTTTCTTTTGCCCACCATGGTTTATGTTTACGACTATTGAGATACTCAACAATGAACGAAAACAGAGAACAGAGAATCTGCGAGTAATTAGAAAGCAAAGAATACATTAACCTCGATGGTTGCTGTATGCTTCTTCTTTACCATGCAAACGAAATCAAACAAGATGAACCATCAAATTAAAATTCAAAACCGAAATCACCAACCATATTAAACCCTACACCAAATGAACAGAACCCAAAATTAAACATAGACGAACCAGAGCTAGGAAAGAACGAACGTTTCTTTTGCGTGCGCCGGCAAGAGAGATGCAGAGTGAAATTATGTAGACCTATAATCGCTTAGCACAAACTATGATCGATGTTCTCCAACTATAATCGATTATTCTCAAATATAATCGGTTATAGAAAATTATGATCGATTATTATGCAATTATAGTCTATCACTCTGACATATATGACTTTAAATAGCAGTTATTTGGACAACCGCTATCTAAACTACATTTATTATAGCGTTCCTAGGGTCAACCGCTCTTTAAAGGTATGATATAAGGGAGCAGTTACAAAAAAACCGCTATTATAAACATGCGTTACACAGCGGTTTAAGGAAAACCGCTATCTTATATATATTTTTAAAAGCGGTGCTTAGTAACCGCTATCTAAGGTCTGTAGTCTGTGGTTCCATAGTCGCTCAAGCGAGTACTACATCGCTTGAGCGAAGTAACCTTAACCAATGGGAAACCTCGGGATCAGACTCAACTTATATTATTTGGCTAAATGCGTTTGACGTTTCGTCATTGGGTCTACACTCCCTCAAGCGATACAGTCATCGCTTGAGCGACAAGTGATTCTTATATGTTGTCAACCAAGTTATATTATATGGCTAACTGCGTTGGACGTTTCCTAGTTGGTCAACTAGTCGCTTAAGCGAGGACTTCATCGGTCGAGCGACGATACTTTCAAACAATGGAGACTCTCGGGTTCCGTCTCGCTCAAGCGAAGACCTTATCGCTCGAGCGATAAGTGATTCGAATATGTGGTGACCCATGTCATATTATGTGGCTACCTGAGTTGGACGTTACGTTTACACTCGCTCAAGCGAAATTTTAGTTAAGCATGAAGTTATCTGTTTTTTGTTAAGCGCATTCTTTACAACTATTAAGCATGAAGTTATCTATTAAGCATTAAGTTATTGTTAGAAAAGTAGTTTTAGATCAAGAGGGGGGGTGAATTGATCTTTGAAAGTTTTTCGCAAATCACAGATTATCTAATTCGAAAATTAAGTTTACTAATATATTCTTGAATCACAAAGCAATTAATCAAAATAAGCGCAGCAACTGAATTTAAATGAGAGAAAGGTTAAGAAGTATTTCACCGGTATTTTATACTGGTTCACCCAATACCAGGGCTACGTCCAGTCTCCAGCCAAATTCCAGCTGGGTTCCACTAGATTAAATGTTTTACAGATTCTACAATCTTACACCTAATCTATCACAAGAACCAACTTCCAGTTCCTGCACTTAACCTTCCTACCAAGAACCAAATTCCAGTTCTTGATAACCTCTACAACCAACTTCCAGCTGCAGAGAAAACTAGTACCCAAATTCAAGGTACCACACAGTACAAAAGAAATGAAAAAGAATTGACAAAGAAGAAACTAGAAAGATCAAACCAGTCTATGCAATTCTGCAGTGAGTTTCTTCTTCAAAGAAAAGCAATATGCCTCAAGAAAGATTTAAAAAGAACTTCAAAAAAAACAGCCGCAAATCTTTCTTGAAAAGAGTGCTAAAGTTGCTTGATTGATTGCTTAAGGATGTATGAAAACTGATGATTAAAAAGTTCCAAGCAACTCTGATTTTAAAGAGTATTTTCAAAACTGCTGCATTAATTAATCTGTTCAAAGTTTGTTTTAATCTGTTGAAATAGCTGTTTCAATCTGTTAAAAGTCCTTTCAATCCATTAATGCGTTCTTGAGTCTTTAACAGAATTGTTTTAACTGATACGACAACGTTTATATCAGCTAAAACATTTTACAAAACTTTTCAAAGTTTGATTCAATCGATTGTTTCGTGTTTTAATCGATTGATATACTGCAAAACTTCCTTATAAAACCTTTCAAGTTATTTTAACTGATACAAAGACGTTTTAATCGATTCAAACTCTGTACATAATTTTTCCAAGTTTGTTTTAATCGGTTGAAATGCGTTTTAATCGATTGATACAGGTCTGATCGGTCATAATTAATTTCTGATCGCTCATAACAATTTCTGATCGGTCATAATTGCATTCTGATCGATCATCCTGACCCTTTAAGTGATTTTAATCGATTGAAACGTGTTTTAATCGATTGAAAATGTTCAGATCGCTCAAAATTCAAAACTGATCGGTCATATTTGTATTCTGATCGGTCATAATGCGTTCTAAAAGGTTTTAATCGATTAAAAGCAATTTGTATCGATTAAAATACTGTAAAAATACTTCTTTGAACATTCTAAGAGATTATAATCGGTTCTTTCAACATTATATCATTTAAAAACATTATTAAGAAAGCTTTTGTTAAAATTCTTTGTAATTAATTGTTAAAAACGATTTTGGAGGCATTTTGCAAAATCATTTAAGAGAAGAAACTTCATGCAGCAAAAAAGATAAAGTGGTTTTACCTAAGCATTCTGTTAGACACACTAATCCTCTAACTCTTTTATCTGAGTGACTTGTTGACCGCTGCAAAGCTGACTTTTGACTTCATCTTTGACTTCATCAAATCAATGAGATCTTTGCCAAAGTATTTCACTAAGATCTTCCTCACTTTCAGTCTCCCCCTATTTGATGAAGACAAACATCATTTTGAAAAAAACAAACTCTGCAAGAGAAGTCACTTGATAATACAGTTTAGTGAGAAATTAAAAAAAAAATGTATTAATGTCCTATTTCTCCCCCTAAAATGTTGCTCCCTTAATGTAAGAGTTATTTTTCTAAATTGATCTTAAAGTAAAGCAACTATTTCTCCCCCTTTTGACTTCATCAAAAATAGGGAACAGAAGAGAAATAATGAAATCAATGCTTAAGTTTTTGAAAATAAAAAGAAATCAATACTTTACTCATGTAAAGATTAATTAAAGTTGATTCAAACTTATCTTCATTAACACGTTTGTAATGAATACAATTAACACGTGTAAAGATAAGGGAATCACGCTTTAGTAGCATGTTACAGGAACAGCCATTAACTAAAGCCTTTAATCTTTCTTTCCAGAATAAAACTCGATTAAAAACAGAACAAAATCGATTAAAATGTTTTTGGTAATGATTTTAATCGATTGAAAGAAAGGTTTAATCGATTAAAAAATTTAAGAATTTGAAAACATGAAACTTTAGTGCAATTAATCGATTATTTCGATTTTTAATCGAATAAACAGTAATGAAAAAATGTTATATAAGTTCATTTAATCGATTTAAAAGATGTTTTTATTGATTAAAACATTCAGATTTGAAAATTATGACATATCTGATGCTAATTTCTTATATCTAATCTAGTGGATATGTTGTGAACTGATTATTTAGAAGGGTTTTTAGCAAAAATATCAACTATATTGATTATCTTTCCAACAATATCAGAATTAAATCTTTATCTAGCTAATTTTATTATATTATAAGCCAGTTTTTAAAGATTTTAATCGACTAATACGACGTTTTAATCGATTATTTTGTTATGAAAACTGTTCCTTTAGTCAATTTAATCGATTAATTCGATTTTATATCAGTTAAAATTCTCAGGGATCTATGATCTGATTCTATCTATGCTATATTATATCAATTAAAGTTAAAGCAAGTGTACCTGGTATAAAACCAGT